AGGGGGGAAAAAAAAGAGTACAAAAACACATCAGATACATTGACCAAAATAATCGACAATGGATTCTAATTGAATTTTTATACTCATGAAGTAAATACTCCACCAAATCTCAGAAATTAACAATGGTAATTGCTTTTGGTTCAAGCTAAGTTAGCCTGTTTATTGTTCACCTTCTTACTATGATGGAAGATTCAATTTTTGAAAACTCAAAAATAAATACAGGCATACCTCATTTTATTGTGCTTGGTTTTATTGCACATGTTGCTGTTTTTACAAATTGAAGACCCCCCACCAGCAAAAAGATTGTCTTACTGCAGGCTCAGAGGATGGTTAGCATTTCCTAGCAATAAAATGTTTTGAAGTTAAAACATGTACATTGTTTTTCTAGGCAGTGCTATTGTACACTTAATAGACTATAGTATAGTGTAAAACATAACTTTTATATGCACTGGGAAACAAAAAAAATTACTCGCTTTATTGTGGTGGTCTGGAGCCAAACCCTGAAATATCTGAGGTATGCCTGTAGTTTCAAAACTATGACACGTTTCTATAATTAGCCATTCCTCAAAATATAGAAAAAGCTGTGTAAACATTGTTTGCATTGGTTCACAAATTTAAGTGAATTTTAGACCATAATTGGAAGCACAGCTTCCAATGGTATGGAACTTGAGATCTGGGTCTTATCTGACCCTTAGTAATTAATTACCTCTCATCTGAAGGGGAGTTAAGTACAGATCATTCATTCATGCTCTGAAATTCATGGACCCCAACAAATCCTCTAGATTGAACTATATATATATCGGGGGGGGGGGGGCGGGGTGGGGGGGCGGGGAGAAGGAGCTGGTCCAGTTTTAAGATTCTCATAGGTGACCTTGATCTAAAGATAAACGTATAATTAGCTGATCACCTTCTAAATTGCTCCAGACCTAAATACTGTTACCTTGTGGTAGGCGGGACTCTTAAGATGACTCCCAAAATTTCCTGATGTACATATCTTTTTAATCCCCTTCCCTTAAGTGTGGGCAGGATCTGTGAATGTAATGGATATTACCGTGATAAGGCTACAGCACAGGCAAAAGGGAAGGGATTTTGCAGGTGTAATCAAGGCACTAATCAGTTAGAGTTTGAGTTAATCTAAAGGGAGTTCACCTCTGGTGGGCCTGACTTAATCAAGTGAATCTTTAAAAGCAGGCTTAGGACTTTCTCCAAAATCAGAAATTTTTCATGCAGGCCTTGAAGCAAGCAGCCATCAGTTCTACAGCTGAAAGGAAATGGACTCTGCAACAGAAGTATGGAAGAGGCTCTAACAGTGGATAGAGCGTCGGCCTGCGGACTGAGGGGTTCCAGGTTCAATTCTGGTCAAGGACATGTACCTTGGTTGCAGGCACATCTCCAGTAGGGAATGTGCAAGAGGCAGCTGATTGATGTTTCTAGTTCTCTCTCCTTTCCTCTCTGTAAAAAATCAGTATTTTTTTTTTTTTTTTTAAAAGTAGTATTAAAGAGGACCAGCTTCAGATGAAACCTTGACTGTAGCCTGTGAGAGCCTGAGCTAAGCTGTACCTGGACTCTTGACCCACAGAAACTGTTAATATGTTGTCTTAAACTCTTAAGTTCGTGGTAATTTGTTATACAGCATCAGAAAATATATAATTTCTTAAAGCCAAAACTTAGCTTAATTTCTCTCTCCTTGAAGAAACTTGAGGCCATGGAGAACCCAAATAGGGTATTCTAGAAATTATATTAATCTATACTAATAAAAGGGTAATATGCTAATTAGATTAGATAGACCAGGCATCTTCCAGACGTCCTTCTGATGTTCTCTGGGACAAAAGCAGTGGTGGCTGCAAGGACTGAGAAGGGGTGGCAGCAGCAGCAGTGTGAGGGCCAAGGAGGGTTGGCAGCTGCAGCAGCTGGCAGTGGCAGCAGGAGCAGGGTGATGGTGGCGGCACCTCTCCCTGGTCGACCCGTTCACCTCCCGCAGAGGGAGGCCAGACTAGCGCTTAGGGGAGCGGGCCCAAGTTGTCACTAGGACATCCCATGAGGGCTCCCAGACTGTGAGAGGGGACAGGCTGGGCTGAGGGACCCCTCCCAGTGCACGAATTTTCGTGCACCGGGCCTCTAGTATTACAATAAACCCAGTCACTTTACAAAGGACAAATAAACCTATAAATTTCAGTCACTAAGGTAAGCTGAAACTAAATATTAAAAAATTATCCAGTTGTATTTTTAATAGCCAAGAGCTTCAATTATAAGAATACTCCGGGTTTGGTTCAGAGTAATGTGGAAAGTACTAAATCCATGACACACAATAGAAAGGAAAAAAAAACTTTAAAAAATATATTTAGACCACAGCTACTCTCATACTGACATTCATATTTTTATAGCACTTGAAAGAGCTCAATACTCCAAAAAGGCAGTTTAAACACGAGAAGCCAAAAACAATTAGCTTACTACAGGCTTATTTCATTTTCTCCCTCATCACAAATAATGTTCTATGTTAAAAATGAATGTTTCCTAGGTCACTGGCTGTGATGAACTGTTAACTGTGCTGAAACAAATTTCAGACATGGCAAAGTTCTTGCTAGAATTCCATTAGAACAGGGGTGGGGAACGACCAGCCCGAGGGCCATATAAGGAAGGCCCTTGAAATTATTTGGTCTGGCCCTACCAAGGAATTAGGGGTGAGTTAATTGAAAGTTTGACCAAATATAGCAAGCTAATTTTTAAGTTGATAACTTTATATGGCCCCCAAATGTTATAAATACCCCAATGGTTCCCCACCCCTGTATTAGAATATCAAGGTCCCATATGAGACCATGGACCATGGGTAGAAAGGAAATATTTAGACCATCAGGTAGCCCTTGTACTCAGATGTTAGTATCACCTACAATTAGTAGCTATAATAATAAAAGCACAATATGCTAATTAGACCAGATGACCTTCCAGATGAAGCCAGGGCTGTGAGGGAAGCTGGGTCCCGGGTGCCTGTCGGTAGCCGGAGGGAGGGAAGCCTGGGTCCTGGGTGCCAGGGGGAAGCTGGTGCCAGCAGCTGGGGGAAGGAAGGGCCACTCTTGCACAAATTTCGTGCATTGGGCCTCTAGAGTATATAAAGGATAACTATTCTATAAAATCATTTGGCCTATTATAACCTCCTCAGCTTACTTTGAACCAAATTTTTTATTGCTAAGAAACATAAATCATGTATCATTATGTTCACCTTGTGGTAACTTAAGCCTTCTATAAAAACCACGCCTTGTATGCAATCTATCATTAAGAACTGTATGTTGAAGCTATAGTTAATACTTAAAATATAGCTCAAGTCAATCAGTCCATTTTTCTGGAAGAATGAAAGAAAGGTCAAAACTTTGATCTGAATAGGGAGAAAGCAGAAGTACAGATGATGTCATCTGAAAAAATTCAGTGGATTAAAATATTAATGTTTATACTGAAATTACAGAACTGAAGAAATATGTCTGTTATGTTGGTTCTAGGTCAAAAGCTTATTAGAAAGACAAACTAATACAATACATTGAGTTATACTCTAACTTTACATTAGTATGTATAAAAAATCCACACAGCAAACACACACACCCCATGTAAAACATTGCTTAAGTTTAATGTTTATTTCCCCAACACAGCCTAGCCTGCACTCTACTTGGATAAATTTTACAAGCTAGTTTTCTGCTGCTTCTAGTTTTAAACTTTATCCATGTTTCTGATGACAAGGAATGCTGCAAAAATACTCTAGTTCAACAAAGAGTTATGATCACAAAATAATTTTTATCCATTCTACAGTGTTTCAGATTTACCAGTTGATTCTTAAACACAAAGTAGATATAGATGCTAATGGTGGCTAATCTGGTATGTTTCTTATAGCAAACTGTTGTTCATGCAACACTTGTGCTCAAAGGGGAAGGCACAGGATTTCCTACAATGAGCCACCTTATAAAGAGTTCTTTTTGTACAAATTAATTTATGTCACATTTAATTTAGTGTGCATAACCTCAAAACTGAGGTATTATTCCAATTTATAAAAACCACTTGCATAACTCTTATGCAAGTTTTAAAAATACAAAGTTTTCTCCCTAAAGTGGCTCAAAATAGATTGTTCATGGCTGCCTACATCTAAGATAAAAAGATTCTAAAACAATTGAACAGATTAGGCATATTATTAAAGGTGTTCAAACCATTACTTGATTTGTACATCTATTCAAACCTCTTCATCAGTCTTTATTCAGCAGTACATATGCACCAAATTCGATTTTAGAAGTTTCCATATCATTTTCATAGAAAACAAAGTTTGAAAACAAATAACATTTAAACACAGCACGGTATTCTACTACAACTGAAACTTTTTTCTTCTTCTTTACAGGACTTAACAAAATCTAAAAATAAACTATGTTGTAGATTTACCTCATGCAAAGATCTTTATGTTATCTCTGAAAATGAAAAGGATGTATTTTTAAAGCACATTTTACTGTTTTATACTATTATGGCAACATGTGTACTGCAACACAGTCTATTTTGAGGGAAATTTGATTTTTTTTTTCCATGCAAAAATCTACACAAATTAGTTCTGATGATATGGAAAGCTTTTCATAGCATCAAACATTCATCTGGTGCAAATGCACAGGGAAACCTTCCTGAAAAGTTTTCTGACTTGAGAAGCAACTAAAAAGCCATACTAGGTAGAGTAAATAAAAACTAAAAACAAAACAAAAAAAAAACAAAAAAAAAAACAAAAACCCCCCCACAAAACCCTAAAAAAAAAAGACAACCCCCCCCCCTCAAAACAAAACAAAATTCCCCCAAAACAAAAAACAAAAAAAAGAAAAAAACCTAAAAAGAAAAAAGAAAAAAGAAAAAAAAGGGAGGGCGTGGGGAGGAAAGGGGAAATAGAAAACACAGGCTGCAGAGTAAACCAATGTCTGCTGCTAAACGGGTCTTTGTTTTCATGTCCAGTGTACATTAACACTTATGATCTCATTTTGATGATTTACTAGGTTTGTTATCAGCCCCCTGAAGGCGAATCAAGCTTGCATGCGTTCACATACAGCACCACAACCACACTCTCATACACAGTCACTCCAGGACTAGGAGTCTGCTTCATGAGTGAAGAGCCCTAGATTTGAAAGATGAACCTGGCTCTCTATCATTGAGCCAGACATTCACTCAACACTGTCCATTCACACACTGCTTCATAGCAAGGTCTGGGCTCATTTTCCTTTGACTTATATGGGCATCCTATTCTCTTTTATGCTTACAAGGCTTGAAGATGACAGTACTGCACTCTCCCTCAATTGATGTAGAGTAAGTCAACATTGAATGTTTCTTCTCAGGCACTGAAGAACTGTGACCTGTAGCCCTTTTTACTTTGATCAACCTAAATAAGCATTCATGTAAAGTTTTCATTACACTTTGCCACTCATTCTCACTCGCACCCACTCGCCATCTTGACCTCATTTGGGCATTTTCTGTGATTCCAAATGAAATCTTCACATTTTCTTTCCCGATTTAATGCAGCAGTAGATCCCATGAGCCAAGCTTGATGGATCAAACCTTTTTATATATATGTATATATATATATATATCTCAGTGCTGCATTGTACCTAACTTCCACAGCATCTTTCTAAAACTGGAACCCTTCTGTTGGTACATTGGCAGATGAATTGAAACCAAATGTTCCACCTTGTATTGCCTCTGGAACAAGGCTAGCATCTTCATCAATCTACGGGAAAAAAAGAAAAAAAAAGATGATTAGTTTAAAAGTATATATAAATAGCATTATAGTAATATTCCCATTTCCCTTTAAAATGTATGAGAGAGATAATGTGTCAACATTATCCTACCATCCCTTTTAGAAAGCTGAAACATTTTGTAAACACTTTTTCTTAAGGATGCCAAAATGAGAAGAAACTTGAGAATATGCAAGATGGGTATCTTCTAAAAGAATAAAATATCAGTAATAAATTAGAGATGGTCATACATTTTAAACTGAGAGGATACTCACTATAATTTCCCTTGTACCTGAGCAAATAGATAAAAGATGACATTAAAAAATTAATGCCACCATTTTTAAAGTAAGTATAATCTCTGGTTAATTTTTGTTTCTTTAGTTTTTAGTTCTCATCTGAGGACATGCTTAGAGAGAGGAAGGGAGAGGGAATGAGGGAGAGGAGAAAAGGAGGAGAGGGAGAGGTGAGAGGGAAACATTGATCAGTTGCTTTCTGTATGCATTCTGACTGCATATGGGGATCAAATCTGTAACCCTGGTGTGTGCCCTGACCAGGAATCAAACCATCGATCTTTTGGTGCATGGGATAAAGCTCCAACCAACTGAGCCACTCCAGCTGGGAGACAAATGACATTTGGGCTTAAAATAGTAAAATAATAGCTAATAACTGATAAATAATATTCTATATGCTTTATATCTAAAGGTTCTTTTCTAAAATACCACAAAATAATGAGTCTATAGTGAAGTTCCTATAAATGTGTATATCCTCTTAATTATTTTCATAATATAAGAGAGTAACAAAAACTGCATGTTGAGGTATTAAAAATCATAAGTCTTGTGTATATCTACTTGCAAATTAGGATTTCCAAAAATCCAACTTTAAAGACATGTGATAAAAGCTACCTTTAAAAGAATATGCTTTTTCTGGATTTTATTTGATTTACTTAAACTAGCATTATATTCTAAATAGGACTTGATCATCTAAAGGACGTGACATCTAAATGGTTTAATCACCTATAAGTAGAATCCACAACTTTCTTTTCTACTAGTCATGAGCCGCATTAATGATGGGGATATGTTCTGAGAAATGCATTGTTAGAGTGTACTTACACAAACCTAGATGGTATACATAGTCTATCACTGTCATTGTAATGATAAATTTCTGTACGACTGGCAGCATAGCAGGTTTTTGCTATACCAGTTTCACATGAGTAATCACTGGGGTATGACACTGTGATGTCTATGACATCACTAGGCAATAGGAAGTTTTCAGCTCCATCATTATAATCTTATGGAACACCATCATTTGCATGGTCCATTCTTGACTGAAATGTTCTGTGATGCATGACTGGTTTTGTCTTTGTCAGGTTGTGTTTGAGTAATACATGTTTAACAAAATGTTTAGCTCTGGCTGGGTGGCTTAGTTGGTTGGAGCATCGTCACCAAAAGGTTGCAGATATGATTCTCAATCAGGTCACATACCTCAGTTGTGGATTCGATCACTGGTCTGGATGCACATGGGAGGAAATCGATCGATGTTTCTCTCTCTCTCTCTCAGATCAATAAAAACATATCCTTGGGTGAGGATTTTAAAAAAAGTTTAATAATATTCTACTCTTTTGATAATATGGAAAAGTTTGTGTATAAGACTTATTTATTAAAATGTTGAGAAAATCGCTCAAGAAATTCACTGGTGGTGGTATCTAACATTATAATTTTCTAAGGAACAATTGCTTTTAATTTAGGCTTACTTTTCCAAAGAGGCAATACTAAAAATTAAGTTAAAACTTTAATTTTCATTACCACATAAGACACTTTTGTATACTGTACCTCACATTATATGGAAATTTATCTTTTGGATGATTTATTGTTTTCAATTTATCTACCTATCTTCATATTTGTTTTGGGTCAACTAAAAGTAACTGTGAGAATATAGTCAAAAGTGGATTAACTAATTACTGTCATGAAGAATTTATTACAGAACATCTAGAATCACTATTTTGTTTATAAACATGCTATGCTAGTAACAATATAAAATATTACATCAAGTGAAAAATAAAGCCTGACTTGTCCAGTGTCAAGAAAATATGCCTAACTTATCTGCCATCAGTGCTAGTACTATTTTTTAATGCCCCGAGGGACTTTGAAATATTGAATTATGTTTCTGAAACAAGTGATATTACCATCATATACCTATTTTAATTCCATTCCCCCTAAATATATACATGCATGTCCTAGCTCAGTGATGGTGAACCTTTTGAGCTCCGTGTGTCAGCATTTTGAAAAACCCTAACTTAACTCTGGTGCTGTGTCACATATAGAATTTTTTGATATTTGCAACCATAGTAAAATAAAGATTTATATTTTTGATATTTATTGTACATATTTAAATGCCATTTAACAAAGAAAAATCAACCAAAAAAATGAGTTTGCGTGTCACCTCTGACACGCGTGTCATAGGTTCGCTATCACTGTCCTAGCTTAATATATTATTTCATGTAGATGTATATTAAGAAAACTATAAAGTTATTAAATACATCATCTGTAGAGAAGAACTGATCAATGATCTCATAGGCCAATTTGTAGATGTCTTCGTTTTCATGATTTTGCAGTTGTTCAATTTTCTCCAGTCCTGCAAAAGATTTTATAAAGTAAAATAGAGTAATATCTAAAAAGTACTGACAAAAAAAGTTACAATAATCTTGGAACACATAATCCAATTATTGAATTGCAAATCTATAATTTTTCGGAACCTATTCTAAGGGTGAATCTTAAAAAATAAAAAGATTTTATGCACAAAGATATAGCATGCTTATCTCAAAATATTAACAACCTGAGTGTTTAAATGCAAATAAATGATTAACTAAGCAATAGGACATCTACCTATTCAGAAAACTATTATATCACAATGTTTATATGGAGCAATAACATGTAAAATTGCTTTTGTTTGTTAAAAGTTAAAAGCAGATTCATTCCACTTTCTAGCATCTGCCAAGTTTTTGTAGTGAGTATATATGAAAAAAATTTAATATACTGGTGATTAATAAATAAATGTTAAGACATCTGTTAATTATAACATCAACCACTGTATTTCAGGGGGAAATGCAATTTGCCCTGTAAACATTAGTGAGTTTGTTAAATCATAGGCAGGAACATTAAAAATATATAACTTAACCTGTTGGCATGCAAATTAGTTCTTGTTTTGCTGTTTAGGAGTAGTAATTTCAAGGTCTCTAAAAAATAATGAAATTGCCCTTTCACGACTGTCCTTCCTCTATTTTCTTAAATGGTGATAGTTGTTTTGGGCTCATTTTTCATTCTACATTTTCCTTATGGGGCCCTCCCATTAAAAAATTTAGCTACTAATATAGGCTGAGGATCTGTATATCTATTGCTTCATTTCTTTCCTGAGCTTCACATTTATAAAACTTGAATGCCTGCATGATCTAATTCCACCAGGACATTGCACAGTTACCTAAACTTTGAACAGTCCAAAACACAACTTATTTGCCTTTACTCATTTAAACTGTTCTACTGTATTACTTGGTGATAACAGTTTGAAATCTAAGAGAAAGCCTAAGTTCTCCTTTTGTCAATACTCTACAATCAGATCTTAAAAGCCTCCATTTCTTGAATTTTGCAAGTTCCTCTTTGTCTCTACAATCAATGTCTTCATTTATTAAGGCCCAATTACTAAATACTTTCCTACTATGCCCATTTTTAATTTTTTCTGGTACTTACTTTCCAATTAGTTCCCTAACACTATTTCCCATCTTCTGTTCCAAACTTGATAGTTATGCATTGTTTTGTTTGTTATTCTACTTGTCACTTTAGTAACTTTAAAAATACTAACCTCTTAGTAATTTTCAAGCCTCTGCACTCCTTTACTAAGTTGAAGTAGTTCTCTTTTTATAATCAGCTCTTTCTTCATATACTTCTCAACTTTTGTCAGATATACCTTTACTTTTATGCTTATCCAGGTTAACATTTACACTTTGTTCCACAGCCACATTTGAAACTTCCATGTTCTGTGTACTTGTTAATTTTAAGAGTTGAAAGCTAAGACGTGCTGTTTACATTCCAGATGGTTGATACACAACCAGATTTGGGAACTACTGCCCCACAGAATTAGAATAAAGTATCTAGTGTGCTACCAAAGCTTGTTAAGATGATAGGGGCCTGCTTATTTGCCATGTCTCAGCCTATCTTTTGGCAGTTTCTACCCCAACTTTGTGATTCAGCAACACTGAACTACTTATAATTTGCTGAATGCTATTTCTCACCTCAGACTTTGCTCATGGTGTTATTTCTGCCTGGAACACCTTTCATCCCTTTTTACTTTATTAATCCTTATTCATCTCTCAAAATCCAGCTCAGGTGTGACTTCCTGCTTCTTCCGAGATGGATTAGGTATTTCATTTTGTTGTACATTTCTATTAGGGTAATTAGCACATTAAATCAGTTTATATTTATCTCCATAACTAGACTACATGCCTTGAGGGCAAACACTGTGTCTTGTTTACCACTGTCTTCCAAGTACCTTAGTACAGAGCCTGTTCAATAAATGGCAATTCAGTTACCTAAGAATATGCAAGAAGCAGAGCAGGATTGTACATATAGAACATACTTAACATATTTACTTTATTATGTTACTTAATTTTCTAAGACAGAAAAATACAGGAGTACTTTATTAGTCAGAAAGTAAACATAGTTACAAAAAGAATTAGAATGTGTGATAATAGTTAATAATAAACTTACCTCCACATTCTTCTATAAGATTGGCTATGGTTTCTGCCTCATCTTCAGCCATTTTTAATATATTACTTAGTCCATCGAGTACTACTTGCACAACTTGTGCATCTTTTACAGTCAGCAAGTTGCAAAAAGGTGGTATAACATTTTGTTGAATTAGGCAGGCCACCTAAAGAATAAAGACACCATGATATATTGAGCATAATGAACTTCGTTTGTGTACCTTATTATCTCACCGAAGTAAAATATTGAGTATGACCTCATCTCTCACATGATAAGTTAGACTACATTAATCAAACTTCCTTTTCTTTTTTACAGAGTAAGTTTATTTTTCTTAAACTTAGAAAATAAATTAAGTGAAAGTGAATGAATCACTCAACTTCATATGAAACACTTCTTTGCCATAAGGAACACTTTTTTCAAAGATCCTTTCCCCTTTAAGATTAAGAAATTAAAATATCAGTTAAGAGGCTGAGTATTTTTTTAAGAACTATAACTGTTCAATGTGAGAGCATCCATTGGCTCTTTACTGTTGCATTTAGCATTCTCATATCCGTGGCCACCTTCTATTCACTATTCTATTGGTTCTGTAATATTTTCATAATACTGTTCTATCATTTCTATCTAGTTATGATATACATGCATTTTTAAATTAAAAAATTTTTTTTTATTGATTTCAGAGAGGGAGAGGGAGAGAGCTAGGCCTCTTGCATGCCCCCTACTGGGTAAAAGCCCACAACCTGGGCATGTGCCCTGACCAGGGATAGAACTGTGATGTCCTGATTCATAGGTCCAATTTCAACCACTGAGCCACACTGGCTAGGCTACATGAATTTTTATATTCTGCTCTGTATTCCTATTTAAGTGGATTCACTGCTCACCATTAGTCTATAGCTAATTTGTGGTAATTATTAATTTATTGCTTATCAGCTCCAAATTCACCCTTTTAAAATTATCTATGAAACATATCTGGGACCTTTAAAACCCATTTTGCCAAAACCGGTTTGGCTCAGTGGATAGAGCGTTGGCCTGCGGACTGAAAGGTCCCAGGTTCGATTCCGGTCAAGGGCATGTACCTGGGTTGTGGGCACATCCCCAGTGGGAGATGTGCTGGAGGCAGCTGATCAATGTTTCTCTCTCATCGATGTTTCTAACTCTCTATCTCTCTCCCTTCCTCTCTGTAAAAAATCAATAAAATATATTTAAAAAAAAAAAAAAACCCATTTTTTTTGCCACTTGGCACAATGTTAAGCTGTGACACCTGCACTATCACAGTGCATGTCTTTCTAAATTTTATGCCATAGGGATCTCACATTCCTCACTCTAGTTCCTACTCCCAGCCTTTTTTGGTTGAGTATTTATTTAATTTATTTTATTTTTTAAATGTATTTTATTGATTTTTTTACAGAGAGGAAGGGAGAGGGATAGAGAATTAGAAACATCGATCAGCTGCCTCCTGCACAACCCTTACTGGGGATGTGCCTGCAACCAAGGTACATGTCCTTGACCGGAATCAAACCTGGGACCCTCCAGTCCGCAGGCTGACGCTCTATCCACTGAGCCAAACAGAACAGGGCTGGTTGAGTATTTAGATGCTGTAAATTTTTGTTGTTCATTTGTTAGAATCTGTGAGGCAGTTTCATTCTGCCCAATTCACCTAAAAAGTCATCTGTCTTAATACTGTTAAAGAGCCAAAAAACCCCCACAACAAACAAAAAACACCAACCCCGACTATAAGTGCTTCCATTTTACAGTAAATTAGAAAATTCTTGTAGGGTAAGAAGTTGGAAAGAGAACCCTTCTCATCTATGAATTATAAATAAAGGAAGTCAAGGTCACACACACTCGCACAACCCTATCACAGAATGTCTGTTATCTTTCTACTATTTTAAATTATGATTTTTTTTGTTAACCCTCACCCGAGGATATTTTTCCATTGATTTTTAGAGAGAGTAGAAGAGAGAGGGAGAGACAGAAACATCGGTGTGAGAAAAACACACTGATTGGTTGCCTCCTGCACAAGCCCTGACCATGGCCCGGGCCTGGGAGGAGCCTGCAACTGAAGTATATGCCCTTGATCAGAATCAAACCCAGGACCCTTCGGTCCACAGGCCAACATTCTATCTACTGAGAAATAAATAAGAGCTGAACTTACCTGATCTTTCCTTCCACTAATTGTTAAGTTACTTATGGCCCAAGCAGCTTCTTTCTGAGTGCCAAAATCCCCCTGCAAAAGCAAAGCAAAGGAAAGGATACAAACTCCAATACAAAGTAAAATGGAAAAAATGTTTTCTGAAATGAGTTTTCTCCCCGCCCCCCTTTAATGAATTTATTGGGGTAACACTAGTTAACTCAATTATACAGGTTTCAGATGCACAATTCCACAACATATCATGTGTACACTGTATTGTTCACTACTTCAAGTCAAGTCTCCGTCCATCATCATTTATCCCACCTGTACCTTCCTCTACTCGCCCCCACCCATTACCACACTGTTATTCGTGTTCATGAGTTTTTTTCTCTTTTTTGCTCAATCCTTCCACACCCCACCGCAACTGAAATGATTTTTCAACTGCTAAATATTTCCCCAGGTTTACTACTAGTCTTTCTATAGGTACACATAATTGTTACTTATTAAAATACGCCTTTGAACCCAATTTACCATAAATACATGGAGACTTATTATGACTTGATATGTATTATTGTTCAATAATATAAGATTAAATAAAGTCAAGGATAAAGTAAAATGGTAAAAAAAAACACCCAGAAAAATGTACAATTTAATCAAAGAAATGTCAAATTAAAAGAAAGCATCCCTTTAAATATATAAGTTTTGGAAATTACAATGCCCACCATTATTAAGATTATGGTGAAAACATTATATTTCCTTTCAAATATAAATTGAAAAACATACTTAAAAATTATTTCTCATGTGAGTTATTAATCTCACTTTTAATAATTTACCAAGGAAATAATTTAAAACAAGGTAATATTATGTATCTATCTATATATTGTTTTAGCAGCACATAACAGTTAAAAAGTAAAAGCAACCCTAGCCAGCTTGGTTCAGTGGATAGAGTGTCAGCCTGTGGACTGAAGGGTCTCGGGTTCGATTCCGGTCAAGGGCACATGCCTGGGTTGTGGGATCGATCTCCAGTAGGGGGCATGCAGGAAGCAGCTGATCAATGATTCTCTCTCATCATTGATGTTTCTATCTCTCTCTCCCTCTCCCTTCCTCTCTGAAACCGATAAAAATATATATTAAAAAAAGTAAAAGCAACTCAAATTCTCAACAGGGGAATAATTAATTATAGTAAATCTACTGAATGAAATAATAACCAGTTATTAAACTTTAAGAAGGCTAGCAACCATGAAGAATGCTTATGATGTATTAAGAAAAAATATATATAAAAAAAGAGGAATGAAAATTAAAACTGCAGTGGGATATCTACCCTTATTTATTAAATTAACTCCAAGTATCTGTTAGTAGGAGTGCAAAACACACACACACACACACACACACACACACACACACACACTTTACAAACTACTTTTTAAAGTACTATTTAATAGCATAACATTACAAACATCTCAAAAATACGTTGAACACATTATGGCACATCCATATATACAGTGGAGTACTATGTAGCTATAACAAAAATAAGAAAAAAGAATAAGAAAGCTCATGTAATGGGAGTGATCTCCAGGATAAGATTTCAAAAGAAGTATTTTTTAAAAAACAATGCAAGAAAAAAAGGAATGGTAGGAAAATGAGCATGTACATAGGCATTTGCTTATATTTAAAGAAGAAACAATGAAGGTATAAACTGAAAACTAATAAAAACTATTACCTGTAAAGGAAGGGAAAGAATAAGGAGAAATGGACAGAAATGTAAGTTAGCCCTTTTAAATAAAACAAGGTATGTATTTTTTACTTGGAAACCACATAAATGGTTTATATAACCAAAACCAATTATTTTAAAAATGGAATACTCATGTTGTTATGGCAGTATGGTCTTATTTTGATAGATTTTATATTTCATATATTCTCAATCTTTTCAGGAAGATTTCCAGAATAAAAAAGATAAGAATATAAAATCAAAGAAGTGAAAATAAAAACACTATTATCTTAAAGACAGTAATATCCAATAGCTTCCTTTCATTCATGATTTGTTTTTTATAAATTTTTATGTTCACAACATTACAATATATTTTTCACTTTCTAAAAAATACATTATCACCTCTTTTGCTCACTTGGGCCTAGAAACAAAGACAACCTTGTAGCAGTGATCATCCTTAGTACCTGAACTATGATCCTGAAATACAATTCTCTACAAAAAGGAACCAGGACATCCTGCAGAAATAGTTCTTTCAAGGTGTAGGTCAGAAATATACAAGATAAGCCTGGGAATCACGTCATACTCAAAAAGAAAGAAGCTCTCAAAAACTATAAAGTGATATAAAAAAAATAAAAACCAGACACCAAATTTAAGAGGTTCCTATTGGTCAGGGAACCTTAGTGCCAGCAAGAACTATAATGGACAAAAAATATCCATAATCGACACTAATAAAAGAGAAAGATGCAAATTGACCATACCTTTGTGATGCCCACCAGCCAATGAGGAGTATGCAAATCAACCCAACAAAGACCATGGGTTAATTTGCATATGCAGGCGCCCAGCAGCAAGGGTTGAGCCAGGATGCTTGCGTTGTTGCCATGGCAACAACGCAGGTGTTCCACACTGCCCCAGCCACTCCGGGCCTCTGGGCAGCATGGGAAGGTGGAAAGGCGGCTCCGGGCCTGAACAAAGGCTGTACCGGCAGCTAGGGGAAGGAAGTGCACAGGCCAACGCTCTATCTACTGAACCAAACCAGTTAGGGCAGGAAGGCCCATTCTTGCACGAATCTTCATGCATTGGGCTTCTAGTCTAATATAATAAAAGGTTAATATGCTAAGTGTCTAGTCGGCAGTTCAACCAAAGCATAATATGCTAATGATATGCTAAGGCTACTCACCACTTGCTATAACGTGCACTGACCACCAGGAGGCAGATGCTCAATGCAGGAACTGCCCCCTAGTGGCCAGTGTGCTCCCACAGGGGGAGTGCTGCTCAGCCAGAAGCCAAGCTGGGCTCACAGCTGGTGAGTGCAGCGGCGGTGGCGAGAGCCTCTCCCTCCTCCGTGGCAGCGCTCAGGATGCCTGACTCCTGGCTTAGGCCGGCTCCCTGTCAGTTGGACATCCCCTGAGGGGTCCCGGACTGTGAGAGGGTGCAGGCCGGGCTGAGAGCCACCCCTCCACCTGCCCGCCCTAGTGCACAAATTTTGTGCACCAGGCCTCTAGTTTCTTATTAATATTAAAAATGCCACCCTCGTCTACTTTTGAGGTTATTAGGAAACCATGTTATTCTAAAAATCGAGCGATAATAAACAAGAATCAAGCATTTATCTGGCCTTGCCTATGTAAAATATGTTACCCTATAAAACAATAGTTAAGGAAAAGTTCTTTATTGAATAATGAAAATTACATAAAGAATGACAAAATTAGAAGCATTTTGAATTTCTTAGTAAAATAAGGATCCAGGCAATGATCATCAATAAATGCCATTATGGGAAAGACTGATGTCTAACTTAATAATCAGCTGGCATAGGCTAAGAACACCTGATCTCACTCATCAATCTCACTTGAAGCAGGACAGAATGTGTCTCCTAATGTGAATCATTAGAAAGTATAGAGTAGTGCATAAGGATTCTTGCCTTACAAACTAAGCCTAGTCTACCAAGAAATAGCTTCTACTACCAGTTTATAGAAAACATGGAGAAAAATAAGATAGAAATATTGCCTCTTTATAGTCCAGTATTCAGAAAAAACCCTCATGCTATGATTGTGACATTTTAAATGGTCTCTTTCTCAAATGTTAATGTAAACATGAGGTATAACCCAAACTTATGATTAAATCGCACACTTATCTGCAGTTAGGTCTTGGGCAATTTATTTGTCTATACCAGTTTCTTCATCTGTCAGATGGGATAACTCTTAACCTCATATAGCAATGGTATTAAATGTGGTAATATATTTAAAGTGCTTAGCATGTATAATCAGTAGTAATAATATGAATGTTTAACAAATCCAAGGATAATAATAATTTTAGTTAAAGAATGACATAGAAAGATCAAGGATTCCTAAAAAGAAATGTTTCTTGTATATAAAAACTGCTGGGTTTAAAAGTTTTAATTTTTAAAAAAATTGATTTTAGAGGGAAGGGGGAAGAGAGAGGAAGAGAGAGAGAGAGAGAGAGAGAGAGAGAGAGAGAGAGAGAGAGATTGATCAGCTGTCTCCTACATGCATCTCAACTGGGTATTGAACCTGCAACCTGGGTATGTGCTTCTCCCAGGAAGGAACCCATGACCCAATCACAGCGACACTCCAATCGAGCCACACAGCCAGGTCTTACATAATTTGTTAAACTAAACCCTTTACTCTTACTCAGATACAACAAGATGATTTTCTTACCTTATCCAAAAGGTGTATTATCATTGGCACAAGATTGGCATCAATTACTGCCTGAACCTGCTGCTGATTTCCTGCCGTGATGTTAGAGAGGAACCACACTGCTTCCTGTAGAACAAGACCCCTTCAATATTTCTCATTAAAGAAATAAAATCTGCATCTGAACTAAGAAAAAACATCTTCACTACAATGTCCAAATGATTTTATTATTTAATGAGTTCCATAATAAAAATTTTAGGAATCTCAACTCCTCTATCCCTTTTTCATGTTTTCTTTGAACAAAATGCTAATGGTCCTGATCAAAGTCACAATGAACTAAATAACCCTTCTAGAGAATTCTTGAAAGCAATTTTCCAAACATTAAAACCAAAAAGAAGATTGGCTGAACAAATACTAAGGAGTCAATGGGCTGTAACACAAATACAAATGCTAAAACTACTGTAAACAGATTCAACATCCCCTTCACATAATGTGCTTTATCCTCTTATTCTACTCTGATCAAGAGTCCTAGCCAAAGTAGGCAAATCTCAATTATCCATAAATGAGACATGAAAAATGAAATAGTGGGTTGCTTCAATGTACTTATTTGTAGTAATTCACTACCCCAAGTCTCTCAAGAGCTAAAGCAGAACCAGATGTTTGATTCCTTTATTGGCCTACCTTAAGGATCTTTTAAAGCTACTCTTTATACCACACTGGTGCCACTTTGGTTGAGATGTTTACAAGTTTTTACAAGTTTTATAGATAATAAGTGAACATGGAAACCACAGGTAACATGAAACAAGGCAAAATATCTACTTAACATCCTATGTAGAAGATGACTATAATTTAGCAAACTTAACAGATTTATCAATATACTAAAGAAAACATTTTCTCTACTTTAAGAAACTAGTAAACAACTATTAGTGTTAGCTAGTGCGCATTAGGCTCTTTTGGATCAGATCACAGGAACTCATTTAATGAACCTGTTAAAGATTTTAGGGTGTTAGGCTACTTAGGTGAGCTGTTTTTGGGTCATAATCATCAGCAATGTTGTAATCAACAACCCATGTTTCTACAACAGCCTCAGATGCACTCCAATATCAGCATCACCAGTCAGTGCCCCCTTTCCATAGCCTCCACGAGCACACACACACACACACACACACACTTTCTATTAATTATCTATAAAATATTAAACTTACATTACTTAACTTACATATTAAAAATTTCCATTCATACAACATTCAACACCCGATTATCTTTATTTCATCATTTCCAAGAGAGCCAATTTCGCACTGTTTATAATTGGCTTATTTATGGAAAATCACATACTAATTCATGTTAGGAAGAATAAAATATTTTATCTTTTCTTGATGTCTAAATGAGAGTTGACATTGACATTATAGACATTTCTGAGTTCCTAACTTTACAAATGAAAAAAAAAACTGCTGATATTTTACGTTATTTATTAAATAGTGTTTAAAAATACTTACTTTATTAATTTTCTCTTTGGGATGTGTCAGAAGTGCTGGGAAATGTGACAGAGCATCACAGTTCAAAACTACCTGTGTTTGCTCATCAGTTCCAGTAACAATGTTGCCCACAGCTCGAAGTGCAGCAGTCTGACACATAAAAAGATTTAATGAGATATTGCTCTATGTGAAATATTTCTTCTTACCAGAGACGTATGTCTGGCAGATTATGAAAGATCCATTCATCAATTCAAGCCTATCCTTTATGAAAAAGCTGTGTCAGACATTGACTTAGGAACAGAAGAGTGAATAGGATACAACGCCCCCCTTATGAAGCTTACATTATTGTAGAAATCCGTCAATAAACCAATAAGGATAATTTTAGACAGTAATTTGGGCCATAAAGAAAATAAGGTAGTATTTTAGAGTTTAGGTTTAGTGTTTCAATAGGATAACAAAAACAAGTGCCTTTTCTGAAGGAAAGCAGGAATCTGCTTAATATATAAGATTTCCGTATTCATACGAATTTGAATTGTCAATTATTTTCTTTAGTTGTATCAGGTCATTTTCTGTAAAAGATTTTTTTGGCTAATTTTTCCGTCTACAAACAATCCAGTTTCCTTTTTTAAAAATTGAGATATAATTCACATAACATATAATTCATCTTTTCAAAGTGAATAGTTAGTTGTCCTTAGTATATTCAAAGTTGTGCAATCATAACCAATATGTAATTTGAGAACATTTTCATTGCCCCAAAAAAGGATATCTGGGCCCATTAGCAGTAATTCCCATTGCCCTCATCACCAGGTTACTGGCAATCACACTGTGCTTATTCCTATGGATTTGCCTATTCTGGACGTTTCATTGGAATAAAACAGATGATGGCCTTTCACATTTGGCTTCTTTTACTTAACATAATGCTTTTAAGGTGCATTCATGTTGTGGCATGTATGAGTATTTCCTTCTTTTTTGTGGCCAAATAATATTGTACTGCATGGAAAGACTTAGTTTTACTTAACCATTCATTAGTTGATGAACATTTGGATTGTTTCCACATTTTGGCTATTATGAATAATACTGCCATGAACATTCGTGTACAAGTTTTTGTGTGGAAAATGTTTTTTCCGTTCTCTTGAGTATATACCTGAGAGTGAAATTGGTGGGTCCTGTAATAATTCTATGTCTAACTTTTTGAGATACTGTCAAACTAATTTCCAAAGAAGTTGTGTTATTTTATAATCCCACCAGCAGTAGATGAGGATTCCACTTTCTCCTTTGCCAACACCTGTTACTGTCTTTGATTATAGCCATTGTGGTGGGTATAAGTATTACCTTGTGGCTTTGATTTGCATTTCCTTAATGACTAATGATGCTGAAAATCTCATATTTCATTGACCAACTACATGTCTTCTTGGGAAAACTATATTTAAATATTTGTCCATTTTTAAATTGGGTTGCTTATCTTTTTATTGTTAAGCTGAATAAATTGTTAATATATTTTGTATACAAGTCCCTTTTCAGATATATAATTGCAAAATTCTCTTCTATTCTGTAGGATGTCTTTTCACTTTCTTGATGGTGTCCTAAGAAGTACAAGTTTTAAATTCTGGTAAAGTCCAACTTATTTAATTTCCCCCCCTGGTTGCTTGTGGTGTCAAATCTAAGAAGCTACTGACTAATACAAGGTCATAAAGACTTACGCCTGTTTTTTCTTCTAAGAAGTTTATACTTTTAGCTCTTACACTTAGGTATTTGATCCATTTTAAGCTATTCTTTAAATATGGTATAAAATAGGGGTTCAACTTCATTCTTTTACATGTGGATGTCCAGTAGTTTCACCATCCTTTATTGAATAAATTTTATTTGCTCATTGAATTTTCTTGGCACCCTTGTTGAAAATCAATTATCATAAATGTATGGGCTTATTTTTGGACTCCTGATTAGATTTCATTGTCCATTTTTGAATGTCATGCTTAAAGCAATTAGTGGTAAGAAAAACTTATGCTTTTATTAACAACAAACTCACCTGAACTTTCACTTCCTGGTGGCTGAGCAGAGGAACCAAATGAGGGACTATTCCAGAGTCTATTACCATCTGTATCTGCTCATTGCCAGCATCAGTAAGGTAAGAGAGGGCCCAGACTGTATCTACCAGTATCTAATGGATAAAATGAAAATTTAAATTCCCGTTAAGTAAGTATCTTCTCATTTTAATAATTTAACCATACAGACTAATTTACAATTATTCTAGTACTGTCTTTCTTTTTCTCTCACCTCGACTCACTGGAATCTTTTTATTATACTAAATATTAGCATTTATGAATGTTTGTATCAAGCATGTACATCTTTAAGCCATATTCATAATATTTAGGTTAATTATAATCTCTATCATAATTTAGTATCTAACCTTAATTCATTAAGATAAAAACACACTATACAGCACATGAAATAGGAGAAAAAGAAATTCTCTTTCCCAAATGCTCAGACTGAGGAATAAATACAAGGACATGGTGGTAAATGTTTAAAAAAAACACACATTCTAGGTAAAAAAACAACAACAAAAAGCATGAATTACACAAGCTATCAAAACTACTTAACTTTGCTTTTAAAGCCTTTCTAAATAATGGGCTCTGTCAAAAGACAAGCCAGAGAAGTTAGAAACCTTTTGAATTCTAAACCAATGTTGTTTACACCATCCAAGAAGCTCCTAGAAGGAGGAAACATCATTTTGCTATTGCTCCTTTCAGGAATTTAAGAAAGTTCTATGGATATTTTTAATGTAAAAAGAAGATACCAAATGAGAAAATTCATACACATAAAGTGGTATTAAAATACGTGAAACAATGAAACTTTAACTTACAAATGTAACTTTTTTCCCCTGGAGTACCAACATATACCAAAATTTGTTTATTTTTGCTTTGTTAATCCTCAGCTGAGAATATTTTCTCACTAGTTGATTTTTAAAAATATATATTTTATTGATTTTTTACAGAGAGGAAGGGAGAGGGATAGAGAGAAATATCGATGAGTGAGAAACATCGATCAGCTGCCTCCTGCATACTCCTTACTGAGTATGTGCCCGCAACCAAGGTACATGCCTTTCACTGGAATCAAACCTGGGAACCTTCAGTCCGCAGGCCAACACTCTATCCACTGAGCCAAACCGGTCAGGGCCTCCCCAGTTGATTTTTAGAGAGAGCGGAAGAGAGGGGGAGAGAAACACTGATGTGAAAGAGACACATCGATTGCTTGCCTCCCACATGTGCTCCGACCAGGGCCAGAGATCAAGCCTCAACTGAGGTACCTGCTCTTGATTGGAATCAAACCACGACCCCTTGGGCAGATGCTCTAATCACGAGCAAAATTTTCAAGAGGTAGGGAGTGGGAGAGAAAGATAGAAAGCTAGGGCCAACATTTTTTTAAAAGCAAAAAATTTCAAGTTAACCGTGCATGACTGTAATATAAATTTAGATAGATTTTTTTTTAAAGGCCCAATAGTGCCAAGCCAGTGTGGCTCAATGGTTGAGCATCAACTCATGCACAAAGAGGTCACTGGTTTGACTTCCTGTCAGGACACATGCCTGGGTTTCAAGCTTGATCCCCAGTGGGAGGTATGCAGGAGGCAGCCAATAGATTGATGATGTTTCTCACTCATCGATGTTTCTTTCTCTTCCTCTCCCATCCTCTCTCTCTCAAATCAATAAAAATATACTAAAAATCAAATAAAAGGTCCAATAGTAAACAAGTCATTGATATGCTCATATCAAAATCACAATTTAAATCAGATTCATTCTCATATATACTGTTTGTAATAGAAAAATTTAATATTCCATGATAAGTTTACTAAATTTGAAATTTCAGTGTTTTACTTATGGTTTGTGAAAGCCGTTTTGTTTTTATTTTTTACTTCTTTGATAGTCTGATTTAAGAACTTGCTAAGTGCTAACCTAAAAATATTTTATTTTTAGTAAATGCTGTTACTTGGTATACATGTGCTAAAAAAGAACAATGCAAACTGGTTTGAAAAATTAAAGGTATAGAAAAGCAAGAAAAATAGAGTTACAATCTCAACTTGACTGGTGTAAACAGTATAAAGACCACAGTACATCTTGGAATAAGGTCAAACAAGATGTCTGGTTTTCTGGCAGAGGTATAAACTTTGAGACTACTCTTTCTTGGAAATCTTGCAAAAGTAAAATATTAACATTTATAATTTTATCAAAGACTTTGGCTTGAAGGAGCAAAACCAAAAAAAAATCCTAAACTATGTGGAGCTAAAAAAAATATCATAAGAGAAAAGATCATATTCATCTAATGAGTTTTGTACATTATGTCACTGCTTAATGTAGTATAATTTGTTCCATATGCTTTAGAGAGATCCTGACAAAATGGTATTACCCTAGAAACTGTAAAGGAATGCAGCAGTTGTTCAAACACTGGTCATCATACCTGTGTTTTTATTTTATTTAAGAATTTTAAAAAAACATTTAAAAAATAGATATTTTATTGATTTTTTTACAGAGAGGAAGGGAAAGGGATAGAGTTAGAAACATCGATGAGAGAGAAACATTGATCAGCTGCCTCCTGCACACCCCCTACTGGGGATGGGCCCGCAACCAAGGTACATTCCCTTGACCGGAATCGAACCTGGGACCTTTCAGTCTGCAGGCTGACGCTCTATCCACTGAGCCAAACTGGTTAGGGCATACCTGTGTTTTTAAAGAACCACACAAGTTCCTGACTATTACTATGCATTTAATTCACATGATTTCCTTGACCCATTACATATATTGCTAGCTTTTCTAACACACTGAAGGCTACACTGGCTTTATAAGCAGTCAGCACAGTTTTCCACCATTCATACTTCCTGAGTTGCTTTTTCCTTTGCCATATGTGTTAATAAAAATGAGTAAGATATATTTGTTATGTTTTAAATCTAGTCTGCACTGATTTTTTTTCCTTATTGTCTGGATTTCAGGTTATCTCTATACCAAGTGAAGCCACTACCAAGGTCACTATAAGTGGAGAAACAGAGTAAAAATAAAATTAAAGAGCAAATAATGTCCACGGTTTGGTGTATGTATAGGAATACAAAGTCATGCATAAAGGCACAAACATTTCTCCTTTTAACTTAAAAAGATTGTTTAATGATTTATTAACTAACAACTTATTTAGGTCCTCTTTCAGGTTTTTGTTGCTGTTTTTTTGTTGTTAATCTTCACCTGAGGATATTTTTTCCATTGATTTTTTAGAGAGTGGAAAGGAAGGGGAGAGACAGAGAGAAAGAAACATCGATGTGCAGCCCGGGGATCAAGCTTGCAACTGAGATACATGCCCTTGATTGGAATTGAACCTGGGTATCTTCAGGCTGCAGGCCAATGCTCTATCCACTAAGCCAAACCTGCTAGAGCTCTTTTTATCTTTCAAAAAAACAAAAACAGCCCTAGCTGGCTTGGCTTAGTGAATAGAGCATCGGCCTAAGGACTGAAGGGTCCTGGGTTCAATTCTGATCAAGGGCACAGACCTGGGTTGCAGGTTCAATCCCCAGTAGGGGGCGTGCAGGAGGCAGCCAATCAATGATTCTTTCTCATCAGTGATGTTTCTATCTCTCCCTCTCCCTTTCTCTCTGAAATTAATAAAAAAATACTAAAAAAAAAAAAAATTGGGTGTATGTATTCTCTTATTGGTCAAGCTATCAAAATGAGATTCCATAAAAAGTTCATGAACAGCCGAAACCGGTTTGGCTCAGTGGATGGAGCGTCGGCTTGCGGACTGAGGGGTCCCGGGTTCGATTCCGGTCAAGGGTATGTATCTGGGTTGCGGGCACATCCCCAGTGGGAGATGTGCAGGAGGCAGCTGATCGATGTCTCTCTCATCGATGTTTCTGGCTCTCTATCTCTCTTCCTTCCTCTCTGTAAAAAATCAATAAAATATATTAAAAAAAAAAAAAAAAAAAAAAAAGCTCATGAACAAATTGAAGAACTTCCAATGTAACTTTTACAACACTAATATACATGTGTATATACTTTATTGCTTAGACCAAAATAACAATTAGGCTTGATTTTTTTACTGAAATTAAATTTAGTGATGTAAGTAAACAGAGTACAAAAATGGCAAATTATGTATTTTAGCTCTTGAATGAAAAAATGTGATAGAATACACTGACATGATGTCCAGTGTAACATTTTCTCCCCATCTCACATGCATACATACACACACATAAAAAAACACATGAAGCATTTACTCACATTTACGTCTGTGTGATGAATTAAAACACAAAGAGCAGGAAGAATCTGAAGAGAAAAATATACAGATTTTAAAACATACATAGATAAAAACCTACACATAATACTTCAGTTTGAAAATAAAAACAAAAAACACTTGTTTACCTCCTGAATGGTTTCCATTGGGGGTGGTGGGTCTTTGTGCCGACATAAGTTAACCATAACCCAAGTAACATTTCTTAAGAATGTTATAGGAATAGATGGACTTATGAAGGAAAGTAAAGGTTTCACAACTCCAAGATTTATGACATAATCTCTACACTGTGGCCCATCACCTATAAGAAGAATTTATTAGTTTAATATAATATGTTGTCAATAAGCAATTCAGAAAATAAAGCACTAGATTCAATATGCTGCATTTTAATCAGTTATCCTATTTAGTTTTATAAAACAGTTCTAGACAATAATAACCAAGTTCACATATTTAGGTCTTTGAGCCAAGAGAAGCAATATAAGGTAATAAGTTTTTTCTTGTTTTTTTTTTTTTTTTTTTTAAAAAATATTACTCAAATATTCAGGGTTATAAGATGTTCTACCTATAAAACATTTTTATGCTATCTGAACACTAGAATCCTAAGGGTAGCTTAAAATACTTTTCGAACAGATAATTGTTGCTTTTATCTTTTCTTTCAATGGCAATCCCAGTTTAACAAACTTTCATGTATTAAAAAGATATACCACAATACTACTGGAAAGAAAATATTTATAGAATTTATACTGATGATCCAATATCAAAGCATTAAGAGTATTAACTATATATTATTCTCCACGATAGTCTTTTGAATTTGAGTGACGTGTATGCTCAGGTTAAAAAACAATCCTTGAAATATTAGAATTGTCGTTAATTATTTTTCCTACATTATTTATTAGAATAAACCTTAAAGTATGGTAATCATGATGTTCACCATTTAATGAGACTGTCTGTAACTGGGGTGGGGAACATCTGACCCTGGCCCATGAAATCACTTGGTCTAGCTCTGCCTAGGCATTAGGGGTGAGCTAATTAAATGTTTGACCAAATATAGCAAGCTAATTTTTAAGTTGATAATACTGTATGGCCTGTGAATGATGTTATAAATGTCCAAATGGCCCCTGGTCTATAAGCTCTATATTATCTCCTATATACTGATTTCATTATGATAGTAGGTAACATTATTATAATGTACTAAAATCTACAAGAGGTATAAAAATTTTAATTCAAAACTTTTCTTAAAACTGATATTATGAAGAAAAATGTTTAAGTTTTGCTTCCTTCTTTTTATTACATACTTTCTATGACAGAGGGAGAGCTAAGAAAATGGACCCCAACATAATAAAGGAGCAGGAAAAGATCTAAATGATATACATATTTCATAATTTTCAAATAACTAAATATTGACTACATGCCAAAATATATTATGTCATTATAAGCAGCAAAGATATTCATTTTGTTTACTATCAGTTTATACTTAAACAGCTTTAATTTCTGTAAACTATTTCATAAAAATTAGTACTGATCCAGACCAACTATTTTTCCTTTTCAATTACTAAAGTTATTTTCATTACATAATATATAACAATGGCTGGACTATTATAAGTTTAAGACAAACCTATGATATTTCCTAATGCCCACACTGCTTGCTCACAGACATTCTGATGGGGTGAATGAAGAAGCCTCAGGAAAAGTGGCACGGCATCTGAAGGAGGAAAACGTAAGAGCAGTTAAGTATAAACACAGTTATATGTCAATTACATTTCCAATAAAATTGGAAAAACGGTTGAAGATACTATAATCTAAACCAAAATCAATCTTGTTTTTTCTGCTGAAACCTCAAAAGAAACTTACCCAAAATATACTTGAAATATGTTTTTATTACATGATTTTCATTACAATAGCAGCAGTGGAAAATTCTGACCAGCAGATTGCTTAGTTAGCATTAAAAGAACAATTTTAACATGCAGACAAATGTAAAACTAAGCTGGTAAGATTTCATTTACAATTAAATTTGGATTTAATTCCGATTTTAACGTTAATTCCTTATAGATTAATATTTATCTTCAAATTAAAAACACAAGAGTCCAAATGTTAAAGTAACTTATGAATTATATCACATGGGTCTTTAGACAGGCCAGCAATTCCTGCACCACATGAGGCTTTGATTCAGATAGTGGCTCTGTTGCTTAATAACAAGGGTGGGAAACCAGAGAAAGGTTTGTACCTGAACAGGATACTGCATCGAAAAAATGATTCTTCACTGGTACAGGATATCAAAGTAACATACTTAAGTTGGCTTACTTCAAATATCTTAAGTGTTATTGAATAGCTATTATTTTATAATATAAACTATAGGCCTGGTACACAGATTCGTGCACTAGTGGGGTCCCTCGGCCTGGCCTGTGAGGATCAGGGCTGGGGAGAGACTGTGGGAGGACTCCGGGGTGTGTTCAGCCCAACTTGCCCAGTCTTGATTGGCCGGACCGGATCCAGCAGCAAGCTAACCTACTGATTGGAGTGTCTGCACCCTGGTGGTCAGTGTGCGTCCTAGTGACTGGTCAAATGGTTGAACGAATGGTAGGACACTTAGCATATTGGGCTTTTGTTATATAGAAGAATAACTCTATTCTTTTTAATAGAGTCACTATTTATTTTGTCTGTTAATAACCAACTTACTGGACTGAACTACTGCTTGAGTTTGTTCAGAGGTTCCAGACGCAATATTTGTCAAAGCCCATGCAGCTTCAAACTGTAAAGAAGGACTACAAAAAAACAAATAATTAAAAGAAATTATTTTTATGTATCAAATATCTACCAACCATTCCTCCCTCATAGAGCATTATAAAAGCATTGAATATTTTGTTGCAAAAGGTATCTATGCATCCAGAACTTCTTTTAAACCTCCATTTAAAATTTCCCTTTAGTATAAAAAGCATATAACCTATTCACATGATCTATTTCTTAGCAAGAATTTTTTATTACGATACCTGCACATTACAATCCAAACAGTGTTCTCAAGGACCTATCTGGCCAAACTATTTCTTGCCAGTTTTCAAAGCTTAAAAGTTGTATGTATCATTCTCAAATTCTTCTTTGGCCTCTGCATTCTTCTCTTGGTATAAACACCTTGCACTGTTTTTCACTTTGGGTTTTCAACTCCGTCTCATAGCCTTTTTCTTTACTTAAAGATCAAACTAATTACTAGAAAATCTTATCTTCTGCAAAGAATACATCCTAAATTATTTCTTAAAATAATGTACTTACTTGTCATCTCTTTCAAGACAATGGACTAAAATAGGCAATATTCCAGATTTTATTAAGTCATCAATTGGTGGATTTCGATCACTGGACAAAAGCTTCCTATAAGAGATGTACATACTTATGAAATTTAATCACATATAATTAAACTCAAGTTCATACTTGATATTGATTATAATAAATGTAACTATCTGGCACAAATACTCTGAAAGTTACTTTAAAAATTTATAATGCAACCTTTTCTGTATTAAAATATTAATGCATAAATATATAGATTACTAATTAGGAAAAATGGTAGACATAACCACTTTACCTCTTTTTTTATTAGTACAGTAATATTATTCCCATAATGAAGGCCTAAATATGACAACTAGATGTTTTAAGTGTTACCTTTGCAATGTTGAGGTCAGAGAAAAAAAGTGGGCAGACTCCTTCACCATGTCATTGACCTTGTTAAGTAAGGAAGGTCACCAAAATATCCAAAATTATTCAAACCATGTCACAATAGAAGATAAAGGGCAAAAGCACATAGACTGATGTTACAAATTTATAGCTGATACTAGTGTCCAATATTTCATCCTACTGCATACACTAAATCAAATATCATGTAAGCTCAAACTTCTCATCAAAGTAACTAAAGTGAAGTGAAGTGAAGTACAACAATACATAGAAAAATATCCAAAGAGATACTGGAGATATTAAGGTGAACAAGACAGACACACTTTTGCTCTTATGAAGCTTAGAGGGTAAAACAACAAAATTTTGTGTCTATTTACACATGTGGAAGACTGTAGGTTTAGCTGATTAAGTCCTCAATGTAGCTTAACCCAAATGTTTATCCATTTGAATAACATGCATTACGATATAAATACAATGTTTTAAGAAAGCTTAGTGAGATCATTCCCCTGTATATATACCAAATGATGGCTACTTAATGTAAACTCCTAAGGTCAGTTAACTGTCCCACCACTTCTATTGCATTTCCAAGACCTTTTCCTATTCTCTGCACTTGGAATGCCCTTTTCTGTCTATTCAAAATCTACATAATCAAAGTCCATTTTAAGTTCTATGTTTTCATAATATCTTCCCTGAATTCTAAATTCCCTGAATTACTAAAAGCATATTTACATAGCTTATACTTAGTTTCGCCTTCCTAATTAGGCTCTTAACCTCTTATAGGGCAAAAGTATGCCACATGCTTTTTTACAGTATTTTCCATAACACATGGCACACAGCACAAACTAGGAAATAGTCACTGTTAATTGAGGTAAAAGATATAGTAAAAAAAATGTTTTTTACTACTTCATTGACAACATTCTTTTTTTTTTAATAAAAAAAATATTTTTATTGATTCAGAGAAGAAGAGAGAGGGAATGGTAGAAACATCAATGATGAGTCATTGATCAGCTGCCCCACCACTATAGGTTGAGTCCGAAACCTGGGCATGTGCCCTGACTGGAAATTGAACTGTGACCTCCAAGTTCATAAGTTGATACTCATTTTTTTTTTTAAATATATATTATTGATTTTTCACAGAGAGGAAGGGAGAGAGACAGAGAGACATCGATCAGCCGCCCCCTGCACATCCCCCACTGGGGATGCGCCCGCAACCCAGGTACATGCCCTTGACCGGAATCGAACCTGGGACCTTTCAGTCTGCAGGCCGACGCTCTATCCACTGAGCCAAACCGGCCTCGGCAAGTTGATGCTCATTGACTGGGCTAACTGAAGACATTCTTTAACAGAAATTGCTTTTTTTCTTTGAGTGTATAATATTACAAATAATATCTGAAAAATAGCCATAAAATCAATTTTGTGCCAGTCTTGATCTGTGCTAAGTTTTACCCACAGTTGCCTCTGCCACATCAATGTAAATGGTGACACAGTGAAAAGAGGCAAATAAGGTCTTAGAATTATTGTGAAAATAGGTTTGATCTTGTATACCCCTTGAAGTTGACTCAGGATCTCCTAGGGAGATTGAGAATCCCTGCCATAGGGATTTAATTATCTTACAGAACTCATATTAAGAAAAGTTGCTCCAAAACTGTAAAATAATCAATTCAGACAATGGTGATCATAATGTATCAATTTCTTAATCATTCTTCCTAGAAACATTAATTTGCCATTTTGAGGTGTGAAAACTTCTGCAATTTTCTTCCTACAAAACAAAGTCCTCTCTAAGAAGTTCTGTTACCTGTAGTGAGCTAAACACTGTATTTGTATAATTTTGCCATCTGTTCTAGGTAATTTAAAGTGAATATAAAAGGTCCTGGCTGAATAGGTCAGTTGGTTAGAGTGTTGTCCCCAAACGCAAAGGTTTTGGGTTCAATCTCTGGTCAAGGTACATACAAGAAGCAACCAATGAATGCATAAATGAGTGTAACAACAAATCAATGTGTTTTTTTCCTTCTCTTTAAAATAAATACATCAAAATTAAAAATAAAGCAAATATTAAAAAGTAGAAAAAGTCTATAAACATAAAGGGTTTTATGCACAAGGTAAGATATTGGATGGACCTGTAAAATCTTTTCCCACTTAAAAATTCTCAAAGTAGGATCAATTTCTTGCTTAAGTCTGTCCTACTACTAATTGCAACACAGGCTGCTATTCTTATAGTTATACTAGAGGCCTGGTGCATGAATTCATGCACGGGTGAGTTTCCTCCCAATCAGTGGGGGCCGTCTCGTGTAGTCCCTATCGGGGAGATGGGGGTCGGCTGGCCAGGTGGAGGGACTGCAGGAGGTTAGCTAGCCGGGAGGAGGGACTGTAGGAGGTTGGCTGTGGGAGTACACTGACCACCAGGGGGCGGGCTTCTGCATCATAGCTACCAGCTGGTTGTCCAGCTGTAATGGTCACTTAGGCTTTTATATCTACAGATGTACAAAGCAAACACTATGATATAACTATGTCTTCTCCAAACTATTAACTATGAGAGCATAGCTATTAAAACAGAAATATTTTAGTATTCTTACCTGGAAAGAGTCTTAATGTCTACTTGCCTATACACTGCTACATTAAGCTTATAACTTAATTTGTTATTTGATCAATATGAGGACTATAAGAAGAATTAGCTACCTGGGCAGGATCTGAACAATCTAAGTTTTTATTAAATTAAACCTATAATCAATAAAAGGTAAAGCTTTTAAGTAATGTTTTCCAATTCGTCTATAGCAATAACCCATCAAATCAACTTTTCCCTATCATCTGTACATATTAAGTACACTAAAGTTTAGTGTATTTGTGAGTTTAAAACATTGCTACCAATTTTAATATTCTAAATCAGAGACTAATTTTAAAATTAATCCAGTTGGTTTATGACTGGTTCTATATTGTTTGCTATCAAAGTTAAATGAGTGTCAAGACTACTATCTAGTCTAGTGAATAACCAAAACAGAACTTCTGTGTAAGTTATAAAACTTAAGTATATCCTCAAAATTTAACTTACCTAGCAGCTTGAACTGCACTTAACTGAATTCCTTGGTTATCACTTGAAGCATTCTATAAAAAAATAAAACAGTTTTGATGTAGACACACAGTAATTAGCTAAGTCCAAGAAATGTAATAAAGAGAGGAAATAATAACACAACTTACTTGAACAATAGCTTCTAGAGAGGTATTTTGCTGGGGAAAAAAGTTAAAGTGAAAACTAAGTTAGAAAATCACCTTAAAATTCTATATTTATATAAAATCTTTCACTGGTAGTTTTAAGTAACCAGGATAACAATAACTTACCACTCTATAATCACCATCTATATCAGAGTCTTCACAGATATCTTCATGTGGTACATTCCTCCTCTTTAAGAGATGTTCATCTCTTTTATTCTTAAAAATAAGTATAAAAAGAAAAGAAGTAACTTTAAATAAAGGAAGCTAAATACTTTCATACAAAGGTTAGGCTATCTTGTGCCTCCAAAATGAATCATGAAGTGCCTTTTAAAAGTAAATGCAAATGTAGAAAATTAAATCAAATTGTGAATTAAACACTTAAGGAACTCTAATTTGAGACCCAAACCCCAAATAATTAAGTTTTTAATAAACGGTGAGCTATGTAAAAACAAAGTAATGAACAACAACAAAAATTGATTAAAAAAGTGTGTTTAAGCCAGAACCAAACATACATATTTATTTAAAAGTACTAAACCATTTTATACATCATCTGGGAGCTTCTCTTTACTGCCTAAAAAAAAAGTCAAAGCAAAAGTTGGGCAGTTCAAAAATCAGACAAAAATCAACATTGCCTTACAAAAATCAAGGGCCACTTGAATTTCACTTAAAATGTTTGGGACAAATTAAAAAAATACATTTTCAACTACTTTAAAACTTGAAAAGTTGTTGAAATTTATAAGTAACAAATTCCTTTCAGGGTGTAACTGCTATTGTAAATAGAACTATTTAGTATAACTACTAGTACACTCATGGGTTACAACTTATATAGATCAGAAGGAAAAAACCATCTCATAATTAGTTTCTCTGTTTTTTTGATAGTGGTCAAGTTGTATTTTGCCAACTTCAAAAGCTTGCCAAATTTAGTCAAAATCTTTCAGTTTTCAAAAGAAAAAGAAATGCTCAGCACTTGAGATTCACATACATTTGATATCCTCTATACATGTTGTAATGTTATTACAATGATGCTTACAAGTACCCAATAATAATCAGACTTACCTTCCTTAATTCAACTACAACTTCATTTCGTTGTCTTCTCATAGTCTACAAGATATTAAAGAAAAATATTTTTAACAATTCACATCAAATTCCATCACCCACAGAAAAACACCACTAACATTCTGCATCTCCTTATCTTTTCTTCTTGTCATGTATTTACCACCTGTAATATTTTATTCATAATAAACATTATATGAAAAAATTTCTAACTTCCATTCACATTCATATTCTCAATTAACAATCTCTTTGAAATTATTGATCTATAATATTGGATATATCATACATTTTTAAAACTGTAACAGCCCACCCAGCTTCTCTTTCTAAATATAAACACTGTTAGATTTATTATGATTCTGAAACACTTTTTTTTCAATTAAATCTTTATTGTTCAGATTATTACATTAGTTACTCTTTTTTCCCACCATAACTCCCCTCCTCCCAGTTCCCACCCCACCCTCCGCCCTCACTCTCCCACCTACTGTCCTCATCCATAGGTGCACGATTATTGTCCAATCTCTTCCCTCATCTCCACACCCCTTTCCTCCTGCCCAAGAATAGTCAGTCCATTCCCTTTCTATGTCCCTGC